ACAGCTCTCTCTTACCAGCCAGGTCTGTGGTAAGGGGAAGGGAAAAAAAAAAAAAGCAAAACCTTAAAAGAGTTTTATTCCATAATAAATAATTAATATTTTGTAAATAAAATGTTCAAAATTAAAACTAAAGTTACCTGTACATACAGTTGTTGAAAATAGGAAGACAGCTTTGAGATAAATACAATCCCTGTGAAAGCCCTAGGCCAGGGAGGCCACCTGTCAGCCCAAAACAGAGAGTGGATGTGTCCTGAGAAGAAAACAGACGCGGCAGGAATCCTTGCTTCTCCCAGGGTTGGATTTCCATTGATCAGAAGTAAAGCTCCTTCAGAGGAAAAGCGAAACTGTGGCAGAAGTACACTAGCAAAGGAGATGAACTACAGCAGGGAAAGGAAGGCCTGTCCCTCGGAAAGGCTGTATCCTCAGGCAGGAAGTGAGGTAGACAGACAGGAAGGCAGCCCTTGGACTTCCCCAACATGACAGGAAGGGGAAGGTCTCTAAGGAAGCCAGGGAGGAGAGCAGCTGTCCTGGAAGCCTCTTCCAGAGGGAGTCTTCTTTGCACCCAGGAAGTAGGAAAACCAGTACCGCTGCATAGAGACCCACCCAGATGTGGAAGCAGGCCGTGGGACCTGGGTGGGAATCCCCAGGCAGTAAGAGATGGAGCCCTGGCTTGTAGGAAACATCCCCAGAGACACACAGCCCTCTGATTAAATATTGCTCTTTATCTCAGAAGCAAGGTGGAAAAGACATTGTTTTGTTTTTTGTTTTTGACTTTTTGAGACAGGTTCTTACTGTGCAGTTCAGGCTGGCCTCGAGCTCACTTTGTAGCCCAGGCTGGTCTCGAAGTCCCAACGATCCTCCTGCCTCAGCCTCCCGAGTGCTGGGATTACAGGCATGCGCCGCCACGCCAGGCTCGGGAAAAGACAATGTGAAAGAGGAATCGCTGCAGACTCTGACAGGACGTCCTGCCCTTTATGCTGGGTACTTGGTCTTGAGCAGAGCCAAATCCCTCACAGCTCGGTCTGTCCAGTGGCCATATTCCCGGGTCACTACATACCCTCGACATTTTCTTTCGAAGGCGGAGGCCCCAAAGGGGACAACCCCGAGAGTGTCCTCTTCCGGGGGAATAGGTAGCCCGAGGGCATTCATGATGGCAGCCACATTGCCAAGCAGGCCTTGGGCTCTCAGTCTTGCAACTCCGAGCTGGGCCAGCAGGACAGGGCTACCAGGATTCAGGTCGCTCTGATCGTCCCCCACGAGCTGGAGGTGCTGAGTCAAGGCCAGGAAGGCTCCTTGGGCCCGGCTAAGCCGCTCACCGTCATCTAGGGCGTGCCAGATCTTAAAAGGGACTGCAGCAGGAGGCAGGCTGCTGAGCTGGAGCTCAGGGGCTGAGAAGCCAGGGTCACTGAAAGGGCTGCCCTGGTGCTGGAGCTGCAGGAAGGACAGAGACAGATGGAAATAAGGAAGGTAACAGCTGTCTGGGCCTGTGACTCCATTTCTGCCCTCTGAGACTAGAGAGTTGATGGGATGTCCTCACTCAGGGCAAGGGCCCAGTCGGGCTCCTATCTGTGTGTTCACTGTTGCACATTCAATCATAAGTTTCTAGCCCCGCGTGGTGGCGCATGCCTGTAATCCCAGCACTCGGGAGGCTGAGGCGGGAAGATCTTTGCAAGTTCGAGACAAGCCTGGGCTACAAAGTGAGCTCAAAGCCAGCCTGAACTGCACAGTGAGACCCTGTCTCAAAAAGACAAAAACAAAAAAACAAAAAACAATTTCTATAATTCCCACATGGCAATATTATTGTGACAATGATAGCAAATAATATATATAAAGCACTTAATACAGCACCTGACATACAGTAAGGGTACAAAAAAGCATCGTTAATTAATGGTATATTAAATCAACAAACATTGTTATATTTTTATATTATTCTCAATCCAAATATATTGACAATGTATTGTGATTACAGGTGATCTTTCTCTTATTTATAGTATTTAGTTACTTTTATTAAAATTCTTAATAAAGTTATGATTAATGTTATTAAATTTACTTGAGAGCCTCCATAAAGCAAGACAGAGAATCTTGTTTGTTTGTTTGGAAACAGGTCTCACTGTATAGTCTAGGCTGGCCTTGAACTCATGACGATTACCCTGCCTCTGCCTCCCAAATGCTGGAATTACATATATGTCGTACCACACTGGCTCAAAGATCCCCAGAAACTGAAGGTACACTGAGAGATCTCCTAACTGGCGGATCACCCAGGCTGATACTCCCATTGTGCGGGTGGCTCAGGGTACCTGAGGCCATCCAGGAAATAGTGTCAGTATGGGAGGTGTAGAATGCAGAACTTCTCAAGGTATAGTGTAGCAGGAGAGTTGCATTCTCTAGGACCCCATGGCTAGGTGGAGTGTAAAACTTGGGAAGAGGTATTACTGGGGGGGGGGCGTGAATTTTGGCTCCCAGAGCCTCTGTGCCTCTTTTAGGGTACTTGGGGGTTTTTTTGTTGTTCTTTGTTTGTTTGTCTTTTTGAGACAGGGTCCCATTATGCAGTTCAAACTAGCCTTGAACTCACTTTGTAGCCCAGGCTGGTCTCGAACTCACAACAATCCACCTGCCTCAGCCTCCCGAGTGCTGGGATTGCAGGCGTGCGCCACTATGCCCGGCTAGGGTACTTGGTTTTAAAATAGGAACAAGCCGGGCATGATGGTGCACTTGGGAGGCTGAGGCAGGGGAATCTCAAGTTCGAGGCCAACCTGGGCTACATAGAGAGACCCTGTCTCAAACATAAATAAAATAAAATAAAATAAAATGGGAACAGGCATCTCATGAGCCTTATCAAAACCATCTGCAAGTGAGACCCAGCCAGCAGGCTGCCTCTGTTGCTGCTATATGGTGGGGTGGGGGTGAATGTTGGGGACCAGGCTATGTGATAGATTATGGGGAACTCTGACTTTAACTCTGATTTAAGCCCCACCCCCATGTCCTAAGGTCGGTGTGACCTTGCCTCAGGAACAGGGAGGTATATGGACGGCCACTTGGCTGTGGGAGGAATTCGTGCCCCTTGGCTGTGGGAGGAATGCTGATGACCCCGCACTACTGAGACAAGATAGCATCTCCTGAGGACAGTTGTTAACCTGCAGGAATTTGGGTTTAGAGAAAATCTGGCTCCTCATTAATTTAATCCTTATCCACCCATTTCCTATATATTTTTTTGTACTGGGAATCGAACTCAGGACCTTGCGCTTGGCAGACAGGCATTTATGCCGCTGAGCTATATCCCCGGCCCCGTTTCTTATAGTTACTGTTCTATTGCTACCCTTCTCCCTGTGCTTCTTGCTAGCCAATAAAAGCGAGCCAACTGCAGAGGTAACCACGCCAGGCCACTAGAGGCAAACTCCTCCCAGCCCCCCTTGGACCCTGAAATTTATCTCTGTCTTTCTTTATTCCTGGTCGTTTGCCCTCCAGGTATCCTAGGGTGGACCAGCCCTAGGTAGGTGAGGGGTAGGAGGTTGTGGCGCAGAATTCTGCAGACCGGGTTCAGATCTGGAAATACTGCCAGTTCTCAGTTGTGTGTCCTCAGGCAAATTTTTCACTCCCTCTTAAGACTCAGTTCCCTCATCTGTAAAATGGATTCTAACTCTATCTCTCAGTGGTTTGAGGAGTCCGTCATGGGACAGAGCCAGGGTGGCCCTCTCCTATAATCCCAGCCCCCAGAGAGGATGAGATAGGATAATAATGAGGTAGGATAATCACAAATTAGAGCCAAGCGGGACAACTTAGTGAGATTCTATCTCAAAATGAAAAATATAGCCTGGTGTGGTGACGCACGCCTGTAATCCCAGCACTTGGGAGGCTGAGGCAGGAAGATCATTGTGAGTTCAAGACCAGCCTGGGTTACAAAGTGAGCTGAAATCCAGCCTGAGCTTCACAATGAGACCCTGTCTCAAAAAGACAAAAAAAAAAAAAAAAAAATGAAACAAAGTGAGAAATAAAAAAGGGCTGAGGATGCAGCTCTGTGCTATGGCCCTGGGTTCAATCCCCAGAACTGGCGGTGGCGGGGTGGTTTAAACATACAGCATCCGACGATCAAAGCCCTTCCTTGTAGGTGCTTCCTTTGAACTATATAACACACCTGAGAAGTCAGCAAAGGCAGGGTCTCCATCCCATTTTGTGAGGGAGGAAGCTGAGATCAAGCGAAGAGGCACAGCTTGTCCACAGACACCTAGCCGTCTGTAGCAACGCTTGCATGAGTGTGTCTCTAGCGCTTGGGACCTCAGAGGAGTTTCCCGGGCTCTGGCTCCCCGGCCCACGGCAATGCCCCTCCCCCTTGCCCCCTCATGCCCAGGCTCACTCACATAGGTCTGCAGCAGCGTTGAGGTATTCTTCTGCATGTAGAGGGCCAGGCTGTAGGCTTGACTGATGGGCTCAGCTGGGGAGAGGGGGGCTGCCAGTCTCAGGGGTGGCAACAGCAGGCTCAGTAGGCAGAGGGGGGCTGGCAGAGGAAATCGGAGCTCAGCAGGGAGTCCCTGGCCTTGCCTGCCAGTTTATTCATTCAGCCTAACAACCCAAAGGGCATGCAGTTGTCTTGTACTTCCAGGTCAGGGCACAATCACCCTGTAGAGCGTTTCCAGCCCAGAACCCCACTTGAACTTCCCTTGAACTCCAGACCTACGTATTCAACTTGCTACTTGACATTTCTCACTTGCACGTTAATAAACATCTTAAAATACCACATCTCAGCTCAGTAGTTTCTCCCCCTCCAGCATCCTTCCAGTTGCTCAGGGCCAAACCATGATGTCCTCTGTTTTTGTTTTTGCTTTTTTTTGAGACAGGGTCTCCCTACGCAGTTCAGGCTGGCCTTGAACTCACTATGTAACCCAGGCTGACCTCGAACTCATTATGATCCTCCTGCCTCAGCCTCCCAAGTGTTGGGATTACAGGAATGCGCCACCACCCCTGGCCTGGGTGGGGGGCTCCTCTTTAAGACCACATTTTCTTCTCTATGCATCCAACCCTATAGTAAATCCTTTTGGCTCTATTTTAAAAGATAGCCAAACTGGGGTCTCTTTTTTAAAATGTGAGATGCATACCTGTAATCCCAGCACTCAGGAGGCTGAGGTAGGAGGATTGTTGTGAGTTCAAGACCAACCTGGGCTACAAAGTGAGCTCAAGGCCAGCCTGAATTGCATAGTAAGACCCTCTCTCAAACAGACAAAAAAAAAAAAAAATCCCAAAACATGAGATGCTCTATGAATTTACATGCCATCTTAGCTCAGGGGCCATGCTAATTTTCTCTGCATCATTCCAATTTTAGTATAAAAGCAAGCACATTATACGTGTTTCTGGATCTGAATGCTGATTACAAGAATGTGGTTTTTCTAAATCGGGTACAGTGGTGCACCCCTATAATCCCAGAACTCTGGGAGGCTGAGGCAGGAGGCTCACGGGTTCAAACCTAGCCTGAAAATTTTTTTTGGCAATACTGAGGATTGAACCCAAGAGGTACATCCCCAAATTTATTTATTTATAGATAGAGTCTCACTCAGTCTCTAAATTGCCTAAGTAGAGCCTAAACTTGTGATCCTTCAGCCTCAGCCTCCCAGAGTGCTGGGATTGCCGGTGTGTGCCACCATGTCTGGCTCAGCCCAAGAATAAACATCTTGAATGCAAAATACCCACTACTAACTCAGTAACCCCCTGAACCCCAGCATTCTTCTAGTTGCAGTTTATTGAGATCCTTTCTCTCAATATAAAAAATAACAGCGGGCTGGGGAATTAGCCCATTGGAAAGGCCCTGAGTTCAATCCCCAGAAAGAATAGAAACAACATAAAGGATTCGTTCTCTGAAAATGTACTGAGCCACACACTTATGACTTGTGTATTTTTCTGTATATTTATTACTTTCATTTAAAAAAAAAAATTTGTCTTTTTGAGACAGGGTCTCACTATGCAGTTCAGGTTGGCCTTGAGCTCATGTTGTAGCCCAGGCTGGTCTCGAACTCGCAACGGATCCTCCCGAGTGCTGGGATTACAGGTGTGCACCACCACGCCCAGCTCGGTCCTCTTTCTGCATTCTTGAGTTCCCAGAAGTTGAGAACCAATCAAGAAACGCTTGAAAATGAAGGCCCTTCCCGACCAGCTTGGATGAGCTCATCTCCCATCACACTGGCGTTATAATTTACTTCGATGTTGCCTGTGTGCTGTGTCTGCACAGTAAAGTTGCTGTCAGGCCGTAGATTTTCCTCTGTCTGTTCACAGCTGTATCCCCAAGTGCTTAGAGCACTCTTGCCAACCCTCGGGATCTGTTTGCTGCACATCCACATACTCAACCAGCTGCATATGGAAAACTGCATCCGTTACTGCACATGTGTGGATTTTTTTCTTGTCATTATTCCCTGAACGATAGGTACAGTCGCTATTTGCACAGCATTTACATTGTATTAGGTATCATAAGTAATCTAGAGATGATTTAAAGTATTTGGGCCGGGCATGGTGGCGTACACCTGGAATCCCAGCACTCAGGAGGCTGAGGCAGTAGGATCACTGCAAGTTTGAGGCCAGCCTGGGCTACAAAGTGAGCTCAAGGCCAGCCTGAACTGCATAGCGATAACCTGTCTCAAAAAGACCAAGAAAAAAAAAAAAGTATTTAGGAGATTGCATAGGTTATATGCAAAATCACACCATTTTCTATCAGGGACTTGAGCATCCTCAGATGTCGGTGTCCTGAGGGAGGGAATTTCTGAAACCAACCCTCCACAGATACCAACTGTACTTAGCACATGCCAGGGACTCAGCGAATATTTGTTGAGTGAATGATGCACCAGGCCTGCTATGGGAGGAGCAGAGGTTTCGGCAGGTGCCTGCTCCCTAGGCACGCGTGCCAGAGCAGCCAGGTAGGCGGCCAGGCAGGGCGCTTCCCTCCCGGCCTCTGGGCCCTGTGCTCTCGCCCCTCACTCACCCAGCGGACAGCTCATGCTCCCTCCTGGGCGCCTTCCTCTCCGCAGTCTCTGGGGCTTTCCAGGGCACCTGTCTGTCCCTTAAGTGGCTTTATACCTGGGGCTGAGCCCTGGAGCTGCCCAGGAGGGAGGGAAGGAGTCACACCCTGCAGAAGGAGGGCGGGCAGTGGACAGGGTCCTGGCAGAGAATGGGGCAGACAGAGCTGGGGGACATGACAGGGAGGGGTTTGGGCAGGACCCAGAGGGGGGCGGACATTCTAGGCCACGCAGAAGTCCGGGAGACAGTGATAGCCGGAGAAGGGGCGATTGAGATGACACCTCAGACCCTCACCGCCCCCAGACTTGACCTTAAACCCTGGTGGGTTAGGAGGGGGCAAGGGCAGAGAAGGGATTATGGGGGACAAAGGGGCCGCCTTGTTCCCTGCTGCTCTGCACGTCCTGGGATCCAGTTTCCCCTGAGGAGGCGGCCCCCTGCTCCGCCCACGCCCACAGGGACCCAGGCACGGAGCCCTGGCTCCCAAGGAGTTTGGAAAAGGAGCAGGGGAGGCAGTACAGGAGCAGTGTCACCCACAGCAGGCGCACCCTTGGACACAGGAGCACGCACACGTCCACGCACATGCGAGCGTGCGGGCCCGCGGCAGGCAGGTGGGCACACGCACGCACGCTCTCATGTGTTCATCCACTCGAGCGTGCCTGGCCCTACTGCGCGTCAGTCCCTGCGCTAGGTGCCGGGGACGGATCGTGGAACACGAGCAACGAACGTCCCTGCCCACGGCGCCAACACTAGCAGGTGCGCCTACCTGTGTGTCACACCTGGCCAGGCCTGCACGCGTCACACAGCCAGGACCCCGGAGAGGCGAGCGCTCAAGTGCGCACAGCTGCCCGTGGGAACACGCTGGGCACAGAGCAGACACGCGCACAGGCGTGCACACGGACACCGACAGCCAGGGTGGGGGCAGGAGGCTGCAGGGAGCTGCATCTCAGCATCCGGTGGGCTGGGCCATCTTGTCCCCCTGCCCATCACAATGCATGGGACACACACAGCCCCCAGGCCGTCTCCCTCGGAGGCCTGTGGCTGAGCAGCTGGGGGAAGTCCCACCCCAGAGCCTCCCCAACCTCGCCACAGTGGGGCAACATTTCCCACTCACCCTCTGGGAACCAGAGAGGGGTCCCGTGGGCCCTACCCCGACTCCACCCAGGGGGCCGCAGTCCTGCTTCACCATCATCCGCAACCCCGTCGGGGGTAGGGAGGAGAAAGAGCAGCGGTACTTACCCTGGGCAGGTAGAACAAGCGCCTGCTCTCTGCGGCGCCCGGAGACCCCAAAGCAGGTGGCCCCGCCTTGTGGGCACACAGTCCGGTGTGGAGATCGAGATCGACAGTAACGCGTGAGCTGGAGAAAACCAAAACAGCCAAAGCGATTGATGTGGTTAGCCAGGGCTGGGGCTGGGACTAAACTGAGCAGACCGAGGCCCAGAAAGGGGAAGCTACTTACCAGGGGCCACACAGCAAAGCCAGGGAAGACCCTAGGCCCTGTCTCTCGGCTTGGGCCGGGAGGTGGGGTGTCCTGAATCTGAGCTGTGAGCTGGAGGAGAGGGGAGGTTGCGGACAAAGGTGGTTCTGGGTTGGGGGCCTCTGAACAGCATCTTCAAGGCCGGGGCCTGCGGGCTGGCAGGTAGGCCGATGGCGGGCAGGTGGTGATGTCAGGGATTAGAGGAGGCCCATTGAGTCGGTGCGCTGAGGCGTGGGCCAGGCGCGGCAGTGGAGTAGGGGCAGGAGGGGCGGGAGGGGCGGACACTCGATCTGTGCTATTCACAAGTGGAGGTGTACGTGGCGCGGCGCCTCTCTTGGGAGGAAGGCTGACCCCCACCGACCCCAGCACTGTCCACCTCTTGGGGCTTCTCTTGCTTTCTTCTGACCCCCAGGGGCCCCACCTAAGGCCCAGCTCCATCTGTGTGAGGTGATGACCCTGGCAGAGGTTGGAAGCCTGTGTGCCCCATGCTGGCCTGTTCCTTATGTCTGCCTGCCTCCAAATGTTCTTTCTCACTGGAAGCTGGTGTCATCGGGACCTCAGTCATTTATGAATCAGAAGGCTTGGGTTCAAGTCCTGCCTTTGTTCATCACTAGTTTGGCCAAGCTACGAAACCCCTCAGAGCCTTTATTTGTTTCCCTATCTAGACATGGGGATAGTAATTCCCATCTGGAACCAGGTGTGGTGGTGCATGCCTGTAATCCCAGAACTCGGGAGGCTGAGGCAGGAGGAGCATTTTGAGTTCGAAACCAGCCTGGGCTACAAAGTGAGCTCAAGCCCAGCCTGAATTGCATAGCAAGACCTTGTCTGAAAAACACTTAAAAAGAAAAAAAGAAAGAAAGAAAGCAGATTTTTTTCTATTTGGTACCAGAAATCGAACTCACAACCTTGCACTTGCTGGGCAGGTGCTGTGCCGCTGAGCTAAATCCCTGGCTGGGGACATACGTTTGGCAGTGGTAGCACACATACCAACCCAGCCTCAGCCCAGACTTTGGCAACGTTTGAGGTCCAGCCAAGCTTTCCTCTGCTTCATGAGCCCCAGGCTTGGCGAGGAGGCTGAGGATGACGAGTAAAGAGCCCAGCGTCTGGCCTCATGTGATCTGATGTGACAGGAGGAGACAGTAGAATTCTAGCAGGACAGCCCTCTGTCCAGCAGTTACATACTGGATGGCTTCTGTATGACCTGACCTTCCCAAGGAAGTGACGCATGAACATGGTCTACTCAGACGAGTGGACCTTGCCAAGTGAGGAAGCTACCCTTGGACTACACTAAATAAATCAGAGTATGAGGGGATGGAAGTATAGCTCAGTGGCAGAGCCCTGGGCAAGGTCCACGCCTGTAATCCCAGCACTCTGGGAGGCCGAGATGGGAGGATTACAAATTTGAGCCCAGTCTGGGCCACTTAGTAACTTGGTGATACCCTGTCTCAAAATTTAAAAAAAAAAAAAAAATTAAAAAGGGCTAGGAGCGCTGGGGATATAGCTCAGTGGAACAGCACCTGCCAGGCAAGTACAAGGTCCTGAGTTCAATTCCTGGTACCAAAAATAAATAAATAAATAAATAAATAAGGGCTGGGAGCTAGCTGTGGTGGTGTACATCTGTAATCCCAGTACTTGGGAGGCTGAGGCAGGAGGATCACTTAACTTTGAGGCCAGTCTGTGACATATAGTGAGTTCAAGTCCAGAATGGCTACATAGTGAGAACTTGTCTCAAAAAACAAAAACAAAACCAACAAAACAAAGGGCTTTAGGTTTACGCTCCAGTTATACTGTATAATAAAAATACAAAATTAGACAAGTAGGTCAATAGAAAGGCCAGCATGGAAAGGCCAGGGAAAGACCAATATATATGCATAGGAACTTGGCATGTGATAAGTATGACAAATCAAATATGGGAGGATAAAAATGCAGTGTTTTAAAATATATTTATTTACTTCTTGTCTCTTTTTAAGACAGGGTCTCGCTATGCAGTTCAGGCTGGTCTTGAGCTCACTTTGTAGCCCAGGCTGGTCTTGAACTCACAATGATCCTCCTGCCTCAGCCTCCCGAGTGCTGGGATTACAGGCGTGCGCCACCACGCCCGGCTCTAACTTTTTATTTTTAGAAAGGGTCTCACTATGTAGTTGAGGCTGGCCTTGAACTCATCATGGAGCCCAGGCTGACTTCAAACTCATGACAATCCTCCTGCCTTGGTGTCCAGAGTGCTGGGATTACAGGCATACACCATCATGCCCAGCTTATTTATTTTTACACTTGCTCTTTGTAGTGGATTATTAACTGGTGGTCACCTTATAACCCCCAGCTGAACTGAGTAAGCGTGCCTCTGGGTGTGGGAGGCCCACCTGGGGACTGTTGCCAGCAGCATAAGAGGCAGAACTGGAGAAGGAGAAGGAGGCTGTTGGGAGCTGGTGGAAGCTGCAAAGAGCTGTTGGTTGTTTGGAGGAGCTCG